GTTTTTTTTTGGCGGTAACCATACTGGTGGTCGAGTATATCATGTTGTGCGGTGTGGAGAACCCTCACTCCGCGCAAGGGGGATGATCGCACCACGTTGTGTTAAAATGGTCAAGCACCCTCGAGGCAGTTACACAGTGCTTACAACTGTCTCTGGAAGTGAAAGCACCAGAAAATAAATTAAGTCATACGCAGCTGTCATCCGTACGCAAGGAAGTAAGCACAAGATGCCGAACACCCTTAGCAGGATGCAGCGCACCCTTCATGCGACTCGCCGAATATCTCACGGCGCTTCGCGCTTGGTGATGTGAGAGCCTGGTCCGGTGAGAACCCGGCGTGCTCCGTCCCGGCTTTGTAGGGATGCGAGGTCAATGGTCAAACGACTACGGCATGCACGACTATGAGTACCCCCCCCCCCCATCCCAGTGAACCCCGCACATGGACTGATCCTCATTCATCCTTGTCGCCCCTTGATGCGTGTTACCGCGATAGTGTGCACACATAAAGATACTTCGTGTATTGGAGTATTGGTCTAGTCCACGAAGAGAGCCAGTTTTCAGGGGGCAAGTAAAAAATATGCCATGTAACAAGATGTGGGTTGCTCTGCCCCCCCCTAAGAGAGAAGCCAAATACGTACATACAACAATGAGGGTGGTCCTGCACCCAATACGCGAACACCTGTTGTGCGTTGAGTGCTGATGGACGGCAAGGAAACATACAAACATATCGAAAGTTTGTTTTCGAAGACAGAGTAAGCTGGGTTTCATTGTGAACGGACGAATTCGGAACATCTCCCAGACCTACTTATAGTTGGTTCTTGCTGTACCACCCTGGAGGCGTGTTGGCGTGTTGGTTCGGATGTCTTGGTTCGGTTTGCTGGGGTCCCAACATGACTAAGATTGTCGTGCAATAGGTCAGCCCCAGTTTTCATAAGAAAATTAATACTTGAGCTACAGTTTGTATGTTTTGGGGTGGAGTGAAGGAATTGACTCGAGAGCGTTTGGGTCTATGAGCAGGGCTACGTGTTATGGGATTTGAGTACAAGGACATGGACTGCACTTCTAGGCAAGATATTTAAGTTCTGGCGGGAACTGCAATTGCGTAGGATTGTTATCAAAGAGGGGATAACACCATAGCGGCCCCTCCCGGCAAGGAGAGATGAGCTCCCTCATTCTGTCTTGTTTATTCCGAAAGAAAGGAAAGAGCATTGCTAAGAGAAGAACAAGGAACAACATACAAATGAGCCTTAATGAGGGACTTCAGGGATTGCTACGCGTGAAAATCTCACAACATAGGCTTAACCCTGGTTGATCAACATAGGCTTAACCCTGGTTGATTTTCAGTCAAGTAAGGGCATGCAAAGTGATGATGTAGACAGTAGGAGGATCGAGTACCTTTGGAGGTTGACGTTTATGGTTGAAAGTGAATATAATTGGGGAGTTGTTGATCATTTGTGTGAGAGAGAGCCGGGTGACCTGCGGCCTGCTATTCAATGTTCGATGTAGGCTAGTGACGTTTGTTGCTGCAGGTCCTCTTGCTGGAACCCACTGCGAATAAATCGCCCGTTCACATATATTCCTGTTGCCCATGGTCTGTGGGACTTGTGTGCGATGCGCAGAAACAAAAACAAAATTCTTCATTTCTTATTATGCAAAGCAGTGTTTTTGTATTTCTTGCAAAGGCGTTCTTCACGCGAAACATATCGCCGGGGTATAGAGCCAGTTTTTTTGTACTTAAGGCGTCAAGCACAATCGCCGCGGGTGACTGGTGGTCCTCCGGCGTGCACGGAAAATGTACCGACAGTCCCCCTGCGTGCCCTTAACACCTTTAGGGCTAGATTGCCTTTTGGGGACACTTTTTGTATACATCTTCTTCACCTGCTTTACCTCGCGAAGAATGACACGATTGTCTCCTCCTTTGAACTACTCGACCAGGGGGGTGCCAGGGTAAACGGGGACGACTCTAGATTAGTATGTATGCTTTGTAGAGTGGAGGAGTATGAGAGTAATGAACAGGTCGAATCGGGGGGCAACTTCGCCGCGGGTTCAACAGTGAATTGCGCCGCGTCTGTCTACCCTTTGGTGGAAAGCGCTACTAGGGGTAAGCGCGGAAGAAGTACCTAGCCCACCGTTGATAGGAGGCACCGGGCAACCTAGGGCTTGGGTTAGAAGGTCTCGCTTTCCCTCTAGAGAAACGTGTTGAAAACCTCCTTTTCGTGCCCCGTTTACCACGCTCCCGCCAGTTGCTGTCTATAATCCCTATCACATGTCCCCTTGATCGAGGGGACATTTGATAGGGATTATCGACAATAGACGGCTCAAGTGGGAAGGCACCTTTGCACTTGCACCCAGCGATGGAACTGTCTGCACCATCCAATCAGCAGGCGTCGTTCGCTCTTTTTCTTACATTTCAGAAATTTCGCAAGAACGACGAATTTTCTGTGCGTGGCAAGGAGGTTAAGAAGGAAGCGTGAGGAAAGACTCGCTTCCGCCAGCGAAAGATATCTCGAATCACGAAAGCAGGCAAAATGATACATAAACACTGCTGTGCACCCATCCATCCCCGGTGAATCATCTTGCTGCTATTGGGGTTATTCTGCGTGACCGTTCGTTGCGGTGTAGTGCTGGCTTGGAAGAACTACGTGTGTGTTGAAGTGTTTTGGTTCAATGTACTACACATCTCCTGCTGAAAACCCTATACAATCAGCGGTATATACGACTTCCAGTAGAAGCATATCTGCAACTACAGCCCCCCACCCCCCCTCTCGGTTTTTCTTTGACATTGAGCAGGGGGTCCCACAAGGTTGCACGCTGTCCCCAACATTGTTCCAGGTGTTCATCAACGATCTATTGGATGTTGAGAGGCAGTCAGGAAGGGAGTAAAAGTAGGGGACACGGAAACTTCGGTGTCGGGAATGCTGTTTGCGGATGATTTTGTTGGTATGTCGAACACCCCTGAGGGATTGCAACAGCAAACTGACGCGGCGATATGTGGAGATTGTCTGCCAACGTTAAGAAGAGTGCCGTCATGGTATGCAACGAGAACAAGGAGGAACCAGTAGAACATAGATGGAAGTGGGGGATCGAGGAGGTTGTAGTAGTGACCAGTACACATACCTCGGAGTACGGATACGGAGGGTCTAGAAGTGTACGGCATGTTGAAAGAAAGAATAGGGTTCAAGGATTACCTACATGGACCAATGGATGCAGGAACAAAGCTTCAGGTCAAATTCAGGACCGGGGACATAGGCCTTCGAGAACGTCGACGAAGACATAGGACGGTAGACGAGGAAGACGACGAGTTCAAATGTGATTGCGGCTTCGAATGCGAAGACCGTGTTCATGTAGTCGCGGAATGTCCGTTGTACAAGAAGGAGAGGCAAGTGTACATGACTGAGCTAGGAAATATAGACGGGACGTACAGGGAGATGTTTGAGGCATGGAATAGAGAGGAAAGGACGGTAGCTGTACTGGGGCGTAGGAGGTGGGTTGAAAAGGCGGGAAGGGATATCGTTAGGATAGACAGACTAGGGAAGACAGTATTGAGCCACCTTTCGCAAAGTAGGAAGGAACGATTGGCCATCGGTGATCGGCCCTGTTGGAACAATGCTCCGTCCTCTCGAGGAGGCGTTGTCAATGGGCTAACCGCTAAGGCGTGCAAAACATAAGAGTACGCCCCCCACTCCCCCCCCCCTCTCGGCGGGCCCAAAATGAAAAAAGTGGGGTGGGGGTCCTGGGATTTTCTTTCGTGCGGCCGTTCATGCGCAGGACACTCGCTGTTCACCAATAAACGCCCTACATAGATGGCTGCTGCTCTCACATCGTGTGCAGCAAAAGCGGCGAAGTGGTTGTCCCACGCGTCCTGTACTGTTGAAGGAGCGTACGCCATGGTGGGAGAGGTAGTCGCGCCTCTGTGAGGAAGCGAACGCGCATGAGGAGCGGACGCAAATGGAGCCTGGGGGGCGTAGAACCCGAAGGTTGGAACCGCCCAGAGGAGCATGGCAGTGGCGGTAGTCGTAGCGATGCGTACGGGAGAAACCATGGCTTTGGGCAAGAGCAAAAGCGGCGCAAACGCGTGGGAGGGATGAGGGAAGGCAACAGAGGGACAAATCTGCACTGGATGCTGCAATCTGCGGCGTTGCTAAAACGCTAAAACTGCGACACATGAAGATGAGAGACGTGCTGGTTCTGGCAGGTAGGTACTTCAGCCCGCGATGCCCCTCGACGGCCCCCAATGGTAAGTTACGGTTCATCTTGGTTCACCTTGGTTCACCCGCCTGTTCGTCCTCTTGAAGGTTGTACATTAGCTGATACGCTGATACCTCTATGCTGAGGAGCTCGTGTGGCACGAGTACAAGATACATTCCATACAAATCAACAATCAATCAACGTTGGTGTGTTGACACAAGAACTTGACATGCATCACGTCAACGCGGTGTGAATTCTCGGGCTCTGATTTCGGCGATTCCGGCAGCGGAATATACCAGGGGGCCAAGCGTCTGTCTTAGTTGCGAGTTGCACACGCTACACCCACAAAGCCTGGGGATCCATGTGCGTCCAGGGCTGCCATACCTTCATTTGGGGAGGCACAGGTACACCCGTGATGAGCGACGATGGTACTCCTTGTTCCTGCATCTGCGAAGACGATAGCTGGGCCGACCACAATATCCTGGGGAGCGACTCATGTGTTCCGATCAAGGCCCATGTGATCTTCGGCTCCGTTGGAATCATCCTCTCCGTGGCGGTCCTATTCCAGGCGCTTTACCAGCTGCATCTCCAGGTCAGTCCCCCCCAACGCCCACCACAGTGCTGCACATGAACTGGAAAGCAGGCAGCAAACGTTTCCGAGGGAAAGCAGCTGGCGTCGAGTTTCAGCAGCCGTTTTGTAACAGTGGCTCACACGGATTGTTGTGTGTCGACAAATATTGTTATGCATACGTATCCTTATCCTTCCAAAAGCCATACTGTAGTCTATTGCCCCATCTGTATCCGTGGATTGATGAGACTCCAGGATATGAAAAGCACTGAAATCATGTATCGTGACCTACGTCAGCTGTGTAAAGGTCGATGCCCGATTACTACTTGTAAACGTAAAGCGGGCGGGAGACGGGTTGTGGGAACAGTGTAGAGGAGGGAATGGGGAAAAGACGACACTGTATTAACGTGACAAAAATCAAGGGGCCGTCGTCACCGGCGGCGTTGCGACACGGATGAAATTAGCGACGATGTTCATCCGTCCGTGGGAGTGGTGATTGCAGGGCCGCCGGCAGCGATGTCGGCAGAACCGACGTCTGTGTGCACCGCAACATAGTGTCTTGAATAGAATGTCTTCGGTGTAGCAGGGATACGCGCATTCGCTATTTACGGTGGAACATAGTAGTCAAGACCAAATTGGTATATAGTGTAACTTCGTCAATACAGAGTCTCCTATCACAAACTATAGCGCAAATTGACGACAAACCACAGAGCTGTAATTCTACAAAAAAGAAAAAGAAAAAGACGCACCATGTCTTCGAGCAATATTACGAAATTAGTGTGTGATCGTACCCGGCGATGTTCCAAAAATATTGGAGCGCGGTGTTCAAACGATGCGGCCCCAGTGCTTGCACCAGTGATCCATGTATTGTTTGAACAGGGTGAAACAGCCATCTTAATTGCGAAATATCAAACAATATATCAGCTTGCACTCAGGATGGCACCTTCTGTGCAGCCCCCTTCGTGTCGCTGTTCGTGATTCAAGGTCGAAAAAGATTGGCCCAAAAAAAGGCATTTTTTTTTTGCATAATTTTTTCAGCCTTCCATGGCATCTTCCGCGTCCTCACCCAGCCACTTATCCGTCTGCTCCTCCACCCCATCCTCTATCTCATCCTCGGCCATTCCCTCTCGGTACTCTGCCATAGGATACTCGAGGCTACCGATCGTACCGCTCAGGCTTCCACCATACAGGCCGATCCACTCGTTCTTCTTGCCAATGGCATGTTCCACCAACTTTCCACAATTGGCTGTCTTCCACCCCCCCTCCTGACCGTCCCATTCCGGGTTTCCATACCAACCGAGACGGATTCGCCTCCAGACATCCAACATGGTCCGCCCCTTCTCAAAATGAATGCTCACGTAATGCTTGCCGTGCTGCCAGAACAGCTCGATCGGCTGAAAAGTCGGCATGTACGGCGGTGTCCAAATTAACCCCAACCCCTTCTCCCTCATGTACGTCTCAGCCTTTTCCTCGAGCTTTTGTGGGAAATTCTTTGCGAACTACGTCCGAGTGACGAAGTCTATCTCTTCTTTGCTGACGCCGTTCTTGCGGTTCGCCTTGGGTAACGACCCCTGCGCCGGCACCTCAAAGTTGTACTCAGCAGCCTTACCCTCCGACTCACGCGTCACCTTGGACAACGTGCAACCGTACTTACGCAAGAGTTCGACGTTGTACTTCTTCCTGTTGGTTTCGGGCACCTTGAGCTCCTCGTCAAAGCAGTGGGTATGAGGCGTTATCGAGAACGAGAAACATATCCTTGTTCTTGAACTGTGCATCAAAGGCCGGGGTAAGTCGGTGCTTCAACCACTGCATGAACATCCCATCCATCATGGTATTATGATAATCTCCAGTTGCCAACTTGGCCTGCCACAGAAATCCTGCTGTCTGCTCATCTGACATTTCGAAATCCGCCTCCCCAGCTTAATTCTCTTCGCACGATTTTCCTTAGCCTTGAACCAACCCTCACGGATAGGAAATCCCTCCTGTAGCTCGGCCAAGGGCCCGTGCTTCGTGATCGCATGCACCATGATCATACGCACACCTTTCCCCGTTGTACGGCCTATCTCATCCTGCACAACCCCCTTATCGTTAGAAGGAAAGTACGAGTACGCGGAACCATGCGCCTGGTGAACAAAGCTCTCATCCATGTACACAATGACTGCGACCCCAGCGTCCTCGGCCCTCTTCGCGAGGTCCATCTTAACAAGAAAGAGGCGGATGCGGTTTTTCCTCTCCTCGTTCAACGGAGGTATTTTGATCCTACACCCCTGCAGCGCTTGAAGCCAAGGCACTGCAGCAACCCTCCTACGGCACGATTCGACATGTCTAATCCGGACGAACCCTCCAAGTAATCCTTGACGAAGACCTGACGTCCCGCCTCGTGCTCGCTCGTGATGAACTCGTTCAGCCCATCCTCTTGCTCTTTGGTGATGACGCGTCGCCTGTCGTCGACGCTGGTGACCTTGCCTCGCCCCTTCCCGTTGGTCTCGTACAACTCCTGCTTGTCATACCAGAGTGTGCGAACCGCCAGGACCTTGTCCGTACCGATCCTCACGGTCTTCGCGACCTGATAAAGATGGCTCATCCACACAGAGGGAGGGTGGAAAAAGTTTGTAAGAATACAGCAGTGTATTGCGTTGCAATATATTGCGTTGGTGTACGAAAGCCGGTATTAATGGGACGGCAGAGTGTGGATAACCGTACAGCGCACGCGAGGAGAATGGTGGTGCCATGCACATGCATACATTCCTTTATGTTCAGCGGTACAAAGCGCTGCTGCAACTGCTGTACTGGTACACTGCTGTACATCTGGCAGCATACCGTTATATACCACGCAAGTCGTGTACAGCAGTAATGGGCATCAGTATTGCAGTGCAAGCAATCTGACCATGGGCCGGCAGCAGTACTGGCACGATGCACAATATGCTGCGTAGGGCTGTATCAAGCACTGCTGTTCCTTGTACAATAATCTTGGGTGGGATGTATGCATACATACAATTGTACCAAAAAAGTATGTTGCACTGTACTGCTGTAAAAACGTGACAACGACATGCGTCTATTTACCGGTACGTTGTACGCAACAGCCATGTTTCTTGGTTCTCATCTGCTCCTTTGAGTGGTTCTCAAAGCTGCCTCCTTTCACCAGGTCGAAGTACAGCATGAGAATCATCCGCGACTGCTGCAGGGTGGTGAGCTCGCCAGTCTTGGGCCTCAGCGATTGCACGGAGTTCTCGACAAACTTCAGCGCGAGGGGGGGAAGCTTGGAAGTCGCCGCTTCAGCAGCCTTGCTGACACGATCCTGCTCTCGCCGTTCACGCTGTTGTTGAAGCAATTCCGACCTCGCCATGTCCCTTGCGAGCTTCTCCCGATCCCTGGCCACTGACGCCTTCATGGCCTTCACCTTTTCTTCCTTGGCCGCGAGAGCTGCTTCGGCAGCGGCGGTGGCCGCCTCTCTCTTCTCCGTATCATCCAGGAGCTTGTTCAAAGCCTTTGCATTTCTCGCGGCCGCAGCGTTGCCCCCTTGATCGCCTTAGGTGGACGGCCACTGGTGCCGCTTGTCGGTACCCGCCTACCACGGTTGGTCATGGTGGGTGCCTGATTGGTCAGGTGCCTGGCGTGGACGGCGAGTTGCTCTACAACGGCTGGCTCAAATTCATTTTTTTTTGGGCGTTGTACTGTGGAGGATACCTGTCGGAATATATAACCAACCATTTTTGCACATACGAAGTATAGGAAGATATGATCCCTCGGGGGTGACTTGCCATCCGGAGAAGTGGCAAGTAAACACCAAGGAGATTTGTCTCTTCCGAAGTCCATGGCCGCTTGCCGAGGGAAGAGATGGGGGAGCCTCCGGCTCGCCTCTCTCGACCCTCTGGTCTCTCTTTCTCTACCTCTCTCCTCGTTACATCTCACGAAAGGAAGTAGCCACCCTTGGCAGTGGAAGAATACTGCAAGAGCACCGGCCTCTGTCTCTGACAGGGACCAGTGTCCTCAATGGCGTCGACGAGAACAAGGCTCCGCCGTGATTTGTAGCAAGACAGAAAGGACAAGAAGAGGAAATGGCGATGCCCAACACCAAGACGAGCTCGCAGAAGCAGAAACTCTCAGCAAGAGCCTATTCCCGCGGACGACGAGCACGATGGCGAAGAGAAGGGTGAAACACCCGACGGCGATGGCGACAATGGCAGCAGCGGCGAGGAAGCTGATGGCCAACTGGTGGACGATGAACATGACCTACATATCATGCGCCAGTTGCTCGAGGGCGTTTGGGCGCAGGATGTATCGCCCGACGACCGTCAGGCGTTGATGGCGAGAAGGAGGCCAGTTCTCCGATCTACTCGCCCAGCATTGGCAGGAGGGCTCCACCCCACCCGCGTGGCTGGTGTCCCTTTTCCGACCTACCTCCCAGACCTCCACTGCAACTCCGGCCTCTGCAGAAGAGGTTGCTCAGGTGAACCCTCCTACAGCACGTAGCAGTACCGTTGAGCAAAATCAGAACAGGGGAGGTAGCACCTCCACACGTCTCATTTTTCGCCAAGCAGTCTTGCCCGCTGCAACTCAGAACTCACCTGTGCGACCCCGCAGCCTAGCCCCCGAGTTGGCATCTACTCCGCATAGCGAGGATAGTACACACAGGCCTAGCAACCCTGTAGCACCGCCCATGCTCCAGCTTGCAAAATTTTCTATGCATGTAGGCACCCCCGTTTCAATGCATACATCTGGCTACACTCAAAAATTTACTTTCCGACAGAACGGCCTTCCGAAGGAGATCGTTTTTTCAGGGAAGCCAGGGGAGCCAGATGTGGTTGAAATTCTAACTCGATACAGAGCACGTGTAAAACTAGCCTGTGTTGCGGCCGATGACCCACCCGAGTCCGTAGTGGACCAAAGAGCGATCCGATTTCTCCCCTTTGTACTTCGAGATCAAGCCTACAACACCCTAGTCGAACTGATTAGTGGCCCTCTCGAATGGCGGCCGTCGAGTTGTTTAACCTCACTTCGGAACAGAGGACAATTAGTCAGGCCAAGAGCACCCGCGACTTGGGACGAATACTGTCAGGCCTTAACCTTCCAATGCTCCGCGCCCAACCGTTTGGCGGTCCTAGCCAGAGAAATAGCCACTATGCAGCAGGGAGAAAACCAGACAGTAGACGGCTTTGCGCTCAAAGTGACTCAGGCCCGCACGCGCCTCCTCGCCGAGGCTTCTCGTTCAGGTCCCTCTCACGTCAGCCCTCACGAACAGTCATGGGACGCTTTCATGACCGCAACGTTTGAGAACGGCCTTTTGCCTCACATAAGGGTGGAGTGTGTTAGAGAAGACCCCACTCACTCATTTCAGGAAACACCCCTCCGCGCAAAGAAACATGAGGCCAACAACCTCGAAGGCGTCTCGTCACCCACCACCGAAATCGTATCTGCTGTCATGTGCGAAACCTCCACAGCTAAAAGGCACTGTCTCGTCGAAAACCGAGGTGATCAAAGAACTCCAAGCCAAACTAACGAAGCTGGAGGCCATGCAGCAGCCGGGGAATCGTGCGACCCAACAGGGTGCATCGAAGAAGCCGCGCGTCACCGGACAAGGCGGTTCCACCACTGCTTCAAAGCAGGAGGGGGAACAATGCCCCTATCCGGGCTGCAAGTTTCGCCACTCGATCGACAAGTGCGCTCTAAAAAAGCGAGATGAACAACAGAACATTGTTCGGAGCTGGATGAGGGGGGCCTTCACGGGATCCCTCGCCCTCAGGGCGGCAGGTCAATAGCACAAGATTAGCTGAGGAAACTCACATAGCACAAGATGCCCGAGCAGAATCAGCCCCGTGTGCCCATGACAGTAGAAAATCGAGGGAACCATTTTTTCCTCGGGTTAAAGGAGGTGGATTGACGTCTGTCCGAGAATTTAGCAGTAATTCCGAGACTCTAGTAGCAGATTCTGCCCAGGCATTTTTGCATAGTCAACCATGTAGCAAAGCAGGAAAAATTAGGAACAAACGCAAGCGTGCGTCGGTTCCTCGGCTAGCCCCGCAAGCTCAATTTGTACTGACTAGCAAGCCATCTAATCGGAATACGAAGGTATGTGCCTCTGTTTTACGTGCATCTAGTTGTGGACCTAATTATGCGGCGTTTCATGCGTCAGCACCTTGTAAATATCCGCTACGCCCCAGCGCATTAAGCTCGTCCTCTAAGAGGGTGCACATTCCTGCCCGAGTGAATAACTACCCTGTGTCTGACCTTACTATCGACACAGCAGCTGATGTACCGTGTATATCAGCGTCTTTCATTAAATCGCATCCGAGTCTGCAACGTGTACCTCAGGTGCCCCCTGGGGCAATTCAGTTGAATAGTGCAGATGGATCAGCGTTAAAAATCCTAGGATATATCCGTTTTTACCTCACGCTGGGCGACATTATGCTACCAGTTGAGGCCCTTGTTTTACCCAACCTAGGTACGGATAAAATGTTGCTCGATAATAGCATCATGACTGCTTTTGGTGCCGTCCTTGACTGGTGCGGTGAGCAACTTTCGTTAAAATTCTACACGAAAAATTCCGGCAACTCACAGACGAACCTCTAGTCAACCGGACCCCAACGACAATGCTCCACCGCAAATTTCAATAGTAATGCTTGACCCGTCTATAGAAGCAGTGCCCGAGGCAACAGTAATTTACCCCAGTCGCGTTCGGCCACGACCCCAGGTGATGTTACATTGCCCCGTCGTACTAGCAAACGAAAACGAACTAGGGCCCAAAAATTGAATCATTGATGCATTTCGATCATTTCTTACAGCTAGCATTTCTACTTTTCAGACTTGGGACATATTTCTGCTACTCATATTTTGTGTCTATCGCGAACGCGGGACCGGTAGCCACGGTGGTTGGTTGTGTCCATTGGGAACAACCCATTCTATCAGTGTTTGGGGAAACACTGGCGAGGAGGATTGAGTTTTTAGCCACCGTTATCCCAAGATCTTATTCATGATGCGTAGGCACACTTGCCAGAGGTTCACCTCATTACAAGTCTACCCACATCAACCCCACACATTGCATATCATGCGACCATGACCATGGGAATTTTTCTAGTACCCTAGCTGTCATCATGATAGCCCAGTACGAAACTTGAATCATTGATGCCACTCGATGATTTCTTACAGCTACGAAGCATTTCTACTTTTCAGACTTGGGATATATTTCTACTACTCTTATTCTGTGTCTATCACGAACACAGGACCGGTAGCCACGGTGGTAGGTTGTGTCCATCGGAAACAACCTATTCTATCAGTGTTTGGGGAAACACTGGAGAGAAGGATTGAGCTTTTAGCCACCGTTATCCCAAGATCTTATTTGTGATGCGTAGGCACACTTGCCAGAGGTTCACCTCATTACAAGTCTACCCACATCAACCCAACACATCGCATGTCACGCGATCATGACCATGAGAAATTTTTCTAGTACCCTAGCTGTCATCATGATAACCCAGTACGAAACTTGAATCATTGATGCCACTCGATCATTTCTTACAGCTACGAAGCATATCTACGTTTCAGACTTGGGATATATTTCTACTACTCTTATTCTGTGTCTATCACTAA